CCTCTTGTTTGCCATGTGAAGGGAAGTGTGAACACCCAGACGGCCAGCTGTGTGCTGGACTTATTTATGAACCTTGAATATTTCATTGTACACCCTGGTGCTGCAGTGGATTTAGGAGATACCAGTCACACAGCAGAACAGGGAACAGGAGAAAAGCCAAAATGCAGCATTTGTCCCTCAAAATCTACTCACAGAAGGTGTCCCCAGGCTGGATGCGCCTTCTGAGGAGTCTCAGTGATGGGCTGGAGTGGTGAATATGCTTATTTTTTGCACCAAGATATTGTGCACTCAGGTGAATAGAAACCAAACGGGCATTGGTTTCCTTCTTCCATTTGATTGTTGTCTTAGTGTACTCACTTTGAGCAGGTAGGACGTCCTGGTGAGCACACATGTAGAGCTGGCAACTAATCTGCTCTGTCAATTAGCAAACTGTGCAGCAGAGGCCCTTAATTAGCAACTTAGTGAAATCTCCCTTGGAATGATGTTGTACAGCTGCTCTGCCCTGGCTGGCACTCGCTGGGAGGGTTCATAAATCACACCTGATGTCTCTGAAGTGGAGAAAAGTTTCCACTCTGACTTCTTTTCCTCTTGCACCTCCACTCTTGTCACATTTTCCCACCTAGCTCACCATGTCTCTCTATGCCTTTCTATCTGTGTTCTGGTTCAATCTTTTCTTGCCCTGTTGCTGTGATCATGGACCTGCAGGACCAAGGTGTCCAGGGAAAGTCATATCCCTGTAGCTGCCAAAGCTGGAGGCACCAACCCACTTGGCACGATGGCCTTGCAACCAAGATAGGCACAGTGGGAGCCCTTCAAGGACATGTTCATCACTGAGGCTCAGGCCATGTGTTTAATATAAGCGTTTTCTGCCCCAGACACCAGATTTTGTTGCATTAAAGACTGTAAAGCCTGATTCCTGGGATGTGGATGGATTGAGCACCCTCTGCTTGGCACAGGCTGCACCACCTCTGGGGACAATGCCAACCCCAGGGCAGGTAGAGGGGGAGCAGTCCCAGGTTTCCTCAAAAGCACAAAAGCAGCCCATTTCTCACATTCCCCTTTTTTTCCTCTTGCATTCTAACATTTTATTTCCCCAAGGATTCAGGAATTTTGTGTGGTGAGGGCATTGTCACCTGGTAATAGCAGTGGAAAAACTGAATCTCCTGGATAACAGCAAGGTAGTCCTCAGAAAGTAGCAGGAATATGGATTATTTTGGGGAGGGTGGGGGGAAGGACTTCGTTTATTTAGTGCTTTCAGTCTGTTCTGCCAGCTCCTGCAGTGCCTATTACCTGAACAATTATTTAGCCTCGTATTTATCATTACAGCAGCTTAGTCGTTAAACACAGGGAGCCTTCCTGCCACTCCCCATAGTTTAAGCCTTACAATCACGTGTCAAATGCTTTTGTTTTTCCATACCCCTTCCAACTGTGCCTTCAAAATAGAAATATAAAACACATAGCGCCCTGTGGTAGCTAAAAATGTCCTTTTTGGTTTTTTGAGAGCAAGCCTGGCTCCCTGTGCCTGTCCCTGGGTGTTGCGTGCTTCACCCCCATGGGCTCCGCTGCTTATCTGTAGTTTGTGTTATTAAAAGTCGGTATCTTTTCCTGTCTAACTGTGACTAGGGGAGCCAGTTTTGAGCTTGGCTTGGAGTTGATCTGTGGAAGAGTGGGATACTGTTATGGCTCAGGGAGCTTTGGAAGCCCTGAGGAAGAGAGTGATCACTGAGACCAGCACCAAACTCCCTCTAGCAAACGTGGAAATGGAGCTGAAATCACTACTTTTTTCCCCCACTCTGCATTCCAGAAGTTGCTTGCTCACCTATGTCTAATTTTTGTGCTGACAGGGATGCAATACAGAAGCTTGTAATTACAAATTTAATACCTTCTTTTTCTGCTCTATTGAATTCCATCAAAAAATAGCATGTTGGACCTTTTAAGACAGCAGCTACCATTTCTTCATCACCTTCACAGTGAATATCTTTGGACTTAATATTTCATAATATTTTTCCAGAGGAGAGGCTGTTACATTTCTTGTCTCATCCGGCACTTCTGCCTGATGGGCAGGAAGCTGCAGTCGTGCTGAATATCTCGTTCATGCACAGCAGGAGAGACCTCTTGAATCCCTTGAGTTGTGGCAAGGAAAGATGGATGTTTTGAGGAATAAAGGGATCTGGGATAGGAGGAATGCAAGGAGAGGGTTGAATAACTGGTGTTCCCTGTCATGCAGATAACACTGTTGCAGGAAAAGAAAAAAAAACAGGTAGATTTTGAGACAAAGCAATGCTTAATGCTGATTTATTCATTGCTTTGCAGGTTTGAAATGTTTGAACAGAACAGCTTTGAACAGTTCTGTATCAACTATGCCAATGAGAAGCTCCAGCAGCAGTTCAACTTGGTAAGGTCAACTTGGAAAAGTTCCATAAAACCAAGGAGAAAATGTAACAAGGCAGGACTTTTGTATGTCTGGCTTCTGCTCAAGGGCACTTACCTGCAGCCTGGGCAGATCCCACGGCCAGTGTGGATGTCGCCCTTGGGACACCTCTCTCCCAGGCACTGCACTGTGCTGGCACTAATTGCTCCTATCAGGGTGAAAAGTGTTGCTTGTCTGATATATCCTCTTGATGCTGGGGACAGGTTTGTATATGGTTTGTGCAAAGGTTCACGGGTTGCTTTAAGTAAGAATATAATTTGCCTTATTTTTGGTGTAGTTTAAATCCCCAAGCAAAACCTGGGTGGTCTCACCAAAGTCCTGATTTCCAGTGTGAGTTAAAATATGGGTGTGAAAATCTGCCCATTAAGCATGGTTTAAACCTGTGAAATGAAAACTCTGTATTAAATAGCAGGATTGGACACACTCCTCTCTTTTCACTTGGACATGCCTCGCAGAAAAGAGAGATTTTTTTGTTTGATTAGAAACAAGCACTTACCTGCACTGGAAATGAAACCAGTAAGGAGCTGTCTTCTGCTTTGGTTGTAAGCAGGGGGGAAAATTGCTATTAGTTTTAGGATCTAAAGGAAAACTTGTTAAATTTGAGCAGCTAAGCACTGCAGATTAGTTTGGCCCTTTGGAACCATATCATATGCGTAGACATGAACATTTGCAGTCTATCTAATGCATCAGATAGATCACTGCTGCTAAAAATGAAAAGTTAATTATGGATTGTATTTGCACTAATTCATATCTTACTTGGTATGTCTAACTATCACTTCTGAAGCTTATAAATTCAAGCTCTGAGATGACATGTTTGAAGAGATTTAGAAAAGCTATCTTTGAAGGGGAAAAAAAAGTGCATTTGAGAAATCATTTTTTAATAATACTTCGGAGTATCTCAGAAATAGCCAGAGACAATTTATCTGCTTGGGCAGAGGTCTGAGATGTATAAGCTGCGCAAAGGTTTCTGTAGTATATATGTTTCTACGTAAGAATCTGCAATGGAAGTGTCCCTGAGTCAGTCAGATGTTGCTGATTATATCCCTCCTAGGTTCTCTTTGTGAAGCTCTGCTCGCAGATGGGGGCATACCCCCTTGGCCCTGGCTGGGCTCCCAGTTGCAACCCTGCTGCAGGTCACTGCTGTAATGAGCACAGCCATAAAGGAGAGGGGGGGTTTTGTCAGCCCAGGAGATACACATGTCATTGCCATTTCCATAGATGGCTTCCACCTCTGTGTAGTGACAACTTCAGTCATTTTCTAATGAGCATCATTCAAAGCCTTGTTTTTCCCCTGCCCTGTGTTTTCATAGTGTAATGCTTTTGTTGTCCTTGCCAGAAGCTAGACTGTGTAGATGGCAGAGCCTGTACAGGCTATGTGCGAGGGCACCTAAACCCTCTGTGGCTTCTGGATGCTCTCTTGGAATGCTGTACTCCAGCAGGGCAAGGGTGTGAGTGGGGAAGGGGTTGGTGCTGTGCTGGATGGTGTGGTGGTCACTAACTCTGCTGTTCTCTCCTCTCAGCATGTGTTTAAGCTGGAACAAGACGAGTACATGAAGGAAGAAATCCCTTGGACTTTCATAGATTTCTACGATAACCAGCCCTGCATAGACCTTATAGAGACCAAACTTGGTATCCTGGACCTGCTGGATGAAGAGTGCAAGGTAAAGAGGAACACCCACCTTTCCACTGGCTTTTATATAGGAGGTTAAAGAATGGGTTCTAGCCTGTGGTAGCTTGCAAGAGGGTAAACATCTCCTTTTGTGTGTGTTGCTGGAGTGTTTGTGGCGAAGTAAACTGTTGACATTTGCTTCGCTTTAGAACATTTCAGAGCCTCCTTGGCTACCTTTTGTTTGCTACCACCCTGGCTACCTGATCTCACCACTGCTCATGTTTCTAGCCTGGTCATACTTAGGAATAGGCATTTCTTGAGAGCTTTGATTTTCTTAGTGTTGTCCAGGAGCTGCAGTTCCTCCCTGTCTCAAACCTTGTTTTGTCTCAAGGGAAACCTGAGTCCTCTTGCAGTAGCTTTTTGGGGTAAAGCTGATTGCATTTAGTGTAGACTTGAAAGACTTGTAGAGCTGGAGAACAGTTTGTTCTCTTTTACCTTCTCTCTCTCATATCAGCCAAAGTTAGATCTAGTTTAAAAGTTGAGCAGAAAGGACAGAATGGAAAACCTTCATGAGAACCCATAAGGAAGTCTGGACTCCTTGTTCAGTCATGAATTGTCAAGGTTGTCTAGGAACAGGAAATGTCAGATGGGAGATTTTCTTGGGAAGCTGGAATGCATATATTCAAAGTCTTTGACGCTGATTCCAACATGATGCATCATGTTGGAAGGAGATGGAGACTGACTTCCTGCTGGATGTGGCTGTCTTCAGGAGCCTCAGACTGGTTTTGCTATGGTATGTTCAACAAGTTGTCCTTGAGAAGAGTTTCCATTGAGACTTGGGTATATTGTGTGCCAGGAAATGCCTTACTGATTGTGGAAGGGCTTGGAGTGTTTTTGAACAAAGGTAGGAAAG